AGGTCACACGCGACACGTTTTGAGTCTTTGTGTTTCACACCTCAGCGTGCCACACGTCCCATTGTTCACGAACAAATCTCCCGTCCGACTTCTCTTTCGTTGTTGGATCAATACACGTGCGAATGGATGACATCCGTTCATCATCCCCATCTACTCTACACCAAGAACCGTCCACACTAAAACCCTAAGATCTCGCTCAATACTCAATTACATGGGGTTTGTTTTTACAGCTTCATCTACTCAAGGCGAACCTATCTATATGGTTACATACATATGAAATACAAGTTCACTTTACAATTAATGAAACTGAGCCTAAAATTTGAGATTTTGAAATATACCTTTATCTACTTAAGGCGAACCTATCTAATAAAAAAGGAAAATTTTACTTCTTCTACACTGAATGCCCCATCTAAGGAGTGACATTACTTTATCTCAGCTCGTATTCTCCCTTCCAGCCATTTGAGTGAAGTGACTTGGGGATAGAGCTCTTCTGAACTACTGCATTTAGATGATGAAGCCCATCGATGTTGGCTCCCTGATTTACAAGTGCATTTTTCAAATTTCTAGAGGAGGGACTACAGCAAGTTGGGGCTATCCTTCTCTCATTTTTACTTTATGTAAAAAATCAGGAGTTAGATTTGAGTCTTAGGAGGAGTTTCTCCAACCACTAAAGCATATTGGATGACTTAATGTGGATGCTTATTGAAGACCTCGAGGTAGAGCTATCAATGCAACATCTACTTCAGCTTTGAGACCTTCTACATCTAGTGATTCTACTCTGGACACTGTCATGGAGCAACTATTAATTCAGCAGAGAGATATTTTATATTTACAGAGTCAGATTTAGAATGTAGATGAACATTTGGATCATTATGATGAGTATCTGCCAAGGAAGAGTGATTATGATGTGATTTTTGATGAGACATTGGTGAAATTAATGAGAGGTGATCATTCTGTTGGGTTTCCTACATGCCCCAAATTTACTCCATTTGAGAGTTGCAATAGATGATGAGGAGGAGGAGGAAGAGGAGGATGATTAGAAAGTTTTCCATTTTGCTACTGATCTTTCATGTTGATTTCCATTAGTAGTCACTTAGTGTACTTATGATGGATTGTGTGCTAAGAATTTTATTTTAATGCATTATTGTTTGCTTTTACTCCAATTTATTTAGAAATGCCTGAGTGTTTTGAGTAGTATTATACTTTTGGAATTGTCATGTTATACATATTGATTTTAGACTTATTACTACTCAGCAACTGTTTTTATTACTTATACCAATGTTGTTCTCCTGCTTAGAACTTTAAATTTTTTCTCTTTCTTGATGCTTATAATGAACTGTACTATTTTAAATTAATTAAAAATTTAAGTTTGGGGGAAGAAAGAATTTTTTTTTTAAATTAAACCTTATTTGTCCTCAATAAACCATATTTTAAAATTATTTTAACATAACCCGTAGTATGTGGTGTTAGCTTTAGATAGCTATGTTTTTTATTCCATAAATGTTATAGTAGACTTAAGTTAAAGTTTTAGATAATAAATGTTAGTTCTAGAGTTAAGATATTTATTATAAGAGTATAGGATTGTGTTTTTACTATTCAAGTTGAGGAAAATTGTATTTTTTAAAATAATAAAGATCTTAGATATATACACTTCAAAAAGTATTGAGGCTTTACGAAAAATCTTTTTCAAAACTAATGCACATTATCAAGTAAAAAAATGTAAGCATTTTTAAACTTTAAGAAGAGGACAATGAAATTAAATATCATTAAAGACTATCCAGAGCTATCCATATATATTAATCCTCACATAAAAAGAAAAAAAAAGAAAGAGTTGAAAATGATCCTCAAAGAAAAAATAAAGCAAAATCAAAAGAAAAAGAAATTAAAAAAAAATGTAAGGAGAAGCTTGAGGAAATGCTTAATTAAAAATTGGGTTCACTTGAATTATCTTAAAGGAATGGACTTATTTACATTTCTAAGCTTATTCTTAATTCTAAAAGTATTAACAACATTACTAGTAGAGTTTTGATATAATTTTTTTCTTTTAATTTTTTTAAGATTCCTAAGTATGACAAATTACAATTATTCTTAAAATCAATAGAAATCCAGAACTCCTAAACTTGATTACTGGATATTCTTACACTTTAGTTCAAACATGAGTTATTGAAAATTCTTCTAAAAAGGACAAAATTTATAGAAATCTTTAACCATAATTTATAAATTCTTACATAGAAAAAAGTTTCTTGAGGACAAGTAATTTTTAAGTTTGAGAGAATTGATACACCTCAAAATTACCTATTTTAAATATACATTTAATGCTCATTTTATGTTCATTTTTTTTTTATATTACACTTTAACAAAAGTTATTTTACATGTTTTTGGTTTAAGGCATAGAAAATGGAGTTTAAAGGAAAATGAGAAAAATGGAGGCAAAATGATGCCGTGGAGCAATGACGCCAAAGCGCCAGAGACGGACGAAGATTGACACCTAGGCGTCGCATCCGGTGGCTAAGCGCTAGTGACTGTATTTCTTGGTGATGCATTGGATTTGGACAAATTTTGAAGGGATGATTGTTGTGCCTCTTGGGGATTTTAAGATTCTTATATAATATGGCTAAAAAAAAGTTTAAAGAGGACTTCCATGAGAGGAAAAACTTAGATCATTTGGAGAGTCCAATAGATTAGAGAGTAGAATAGAGTCATAGTGTTGTTTTTCTTTTGAGAAGAGTTTGAAGATTGCTTTAAAGGGTCTTCAAGATTTGCTTCTTCAAGATTTGCTTGTGGAAAAACCTAAGATAAGTATTTTATATTTTTTTAAGCTATACTCTCTTGTGTAAACTTGATCTTAAATACAAATCTATGTGTTTTTGTGTTATTTCTGTGAATTATGAGTAATTTTTTTCTTTCTCTTTGCTATAAGAATTAATCATGTATGATGAGAATGATTTAAATATTTCTTTTTATTTTAAATTTTGTGATGGTATTTTTACCAGTTCTTCGATGGTATTTTTACCGGTTCTTCATTGACTTTGCAAACTGGCCACTTGTGTGGTTAAAATCCGTTGCGAAACTAAATGACCCTTGAGGGCTATGATTTCACCAAAATTGTGAGTTCTACGTTAACCTTTAGGATGGGAGGCCAACACAGTTCACTGGTTAGCGCAAATAGATAAGAAAATAAGCTTTGATGGGTGTAGAATTGATATTTTTAGGGTGAAAGACCAGATTCTTTTATCAATTCGATCTTGAGTTTGGAACCCGAGCCCCTGGTAGTTTCTATAAAGAGGACATAGTGGGTAATCTGGAGGTGAGAGACCAAACTCTACTCAACACTACTATACAATCAGGAATAAATTTAAGATTAGCCAATGTTTTTTACATGCATCGAAAGGGGGTAAAGAATGGGTATTCTCCTATTTATCATAATACAACATTTTATATTTTTAAATATTCAAATCCTACATTTATTATGATCTCTTTACAAGTGGAAAGATCTTTTCCATGTCATTTGAACTCTTTTTAAAAGTGTTAAGTTATAAAATTTGCACTTACTTTCTGCTTAGAATTAAATCTTGCATATATTTAGTTTTAATCTTTTCAAGGTATTTCAACATTTTTCTCTATTAATTGTTTTTGTAGTTTTAATAGAAGTTTTTCTATGTCATTTTCGAAAGTTACAACTTCCTTGTGGGAACGATACTGAGGTTTTTAAAGAAAGCTCTATATTACTTGAAACGATACTTATACTTGCATAGTAACCCTAGTGTGAATGCTTATTTTTTTTCCTAGATCATTTTTTTTTGTTCACACTAGTCGCTAAAATATAAA